TTAAACCCCCCCCCCCCCCCCCCTTTTTATTTTTGGAAATTTTACAATGCATAAATATATTATTTTCATTTTCTACAAAGCGATGATTTTTTTTTTAAGACTATGAAATGTGGACACAAGCAACTTTCACAAAAATGTTGAGGAAGTCAAGTTGAAAGTAATAAAACAAAAAGATTTCAAGCTTTGAAAATAACAACCGCTTTAGAACACTTGGTTGATACATATAATGATCCAAAGGCATTTATAGAAGTTTAACTTTTGACATTATGGATTTTGAGTTCTTGTTTGTCATGGTTATTTGGAATAATATATTGTCAACTATTAATAGAGTAAGCAAAATATTGCAAAGTGATGACATGTCTATTGATACTACTATTAATAATTTGAAAGTACTTATTTCATTTTTTGAAACATATAGTAAAACATGATTTGAATCTGACAATATTACTATTAATGAAATTGCTACTCAAATGTAAGTTGAACCTACATTTCTTGAAAAACGTATTATTCAAAGAAAGAAGCGCTTTTATTAAAATGTCAACAATGAGATAACATATTGAGCAGAATAATCTTTTTAGAATTGATTAGTTCTTATATATAGTTGATGATGCTCTTTTTTCACTTAAATTAAGATTTGAACAATTTCAAAAATATGAAAATTGGGTTAAGTTTGAAGAATTTTTGAAATACGACATAATTCTAATATTATAGGAGAGAGTTATTTTCTGAGTTGCAAATTATGAAATTGTTTGTTAGGAGAAACCAAAAAGGTGATTGAAGTGTTTGACTCTATCGAAATGATAGATTGTTATATTTCATATATGTGGATTACTTATAAAATGTTATTGATTATATCATTTACAATTGCATCTCTCAAAACCAACATCTCAAAGTTGAAGCTAATAAAATTCTATCTTTAATCAACAATGTCACAAAAAAGGTTGAATGGATTGGCCATAACGTCTATGAAAGAGGAGATCTAAAACAAATTGATTGTAATAATGTAACTATTGATTTTTTAATCAACAAATTCTAAAGCAATAAATTTAATTTAGATATTTGATAATTATTATTATTATTATTATTATTATTGCATTTTTTAATATTTGTATTTATTTATTTATTATTAATATATAGTTTAAATATTTATAAGGCCTCATATCTGAAATTGGCATAATAAACCTAAGATCTGAGGATCAACATTATAGATTAGCTATATGTGCTTGTGAATAGCCATCGATTGCACAACTTTTTTGTAACCTACTTTGTATAATGTAAATATATACTTATTGTTTTGGTGTAAAATGTCAGACAGTTTCTCCATTCTATAGCGTTGCAATGCGTAATGTTAATCATAATAAGCAAGATGTTGCTTCTTGTTCTTGCCAATATGATAAGAAAGTTTTTTATTTTAGCCACACCTAAACCTCCAATTAGTCTCTTCTATCACCTCTACCTTCTTTTAACTTCTCCACACTGTCCAACTTCTCTCCTTCCTCAATAGTCGATGCAACAGGGGTGTAGTTGGAACATCGGAAAGAGTAAAGGGTGTGTCGGGTTTTAAATGTGCAATATTAAGTAAAATTAGATATTGCAATGAATAAATTTTATTTTATTTTATTTTTAATACTATCTAGCATTCTCGAGCCGGTTAACATGCAACAGATGTCAAACACAAAAACGGTTGGAATGTGGAAGTGAAATTATCCAGAATTAAAAAATAAATAAATAAATAAATAAAAATTAAAAAACAAGATTTGTTAGGCATTCACGTGTATGTTATATCAAGAATAAATGATTCAAATTTTTACATAAATTCGACAATCAATTTTTGAATTAATTATAAATCATGAATTTTTAACTTTTTGGATCATAAACTTTCAACTTTTTAATTGCAAGAACTTGATACTTCAAATCTCCAATTCTTCTATGGTATTCTCTAATATTAAAGCTACATTGGTGAGTGAACACTTTCTTTTAATTAAATTAATAAATTAATTCTTGAACTAGACAATTAAATAAAGCAAGAAAAATAATTTCCTCTCTCCAAATTTGAACATTATGAAATTATGTGTTATGATTATTGTACAATTCCATAGGATGTCTAATTTCCATTTAATCTCTACTTATAGAAATAGAATAGTTACAATCCTTGTACAATAATAATTCCAAATTAAAAAAGAGTTTTAATTAAAATCCTAAGTAGGAGTTTTAATTAAAGTCCAATACCAATTAGTTTATATTTTATTATATATGTAGTTTTAGAACTTCAATTACAATTATAATTAAATTTACAATTTTCATAGTAATTACAATTAAGTACAAAACTTTATTGTAATTACAATTAAGCCAAAAACTATTATAATTGCCGTAATTAAGTTCCAACATCTCATAGAGCTACAACAGGAACCTGATTGAACATATATTATCCAAACTCCAATAATTAGATCCTATCTAGTCGACTTTAGACTACCCAATCTAATTATTGGTATTTACTTGTTCCACTAAAGGCAAAAGACTGAACTCTCGAAATATATAAGATCATAAAAGTCAATAAATTTGTAATACTTTTCTCTTACTTGCCGTATATGTATTTTGTCCTGTCTGAGATCCGATAATTAGGTAGAGCATAAATGACCATTTTGTCATTCTAATTATTATCACTAACTTAAATTTCATTTTCTTCAACGGTCCTATAAACTAATCACAGATGTAGATATTTAGTCGTTATTAAACATTGATCTTAGATTTTAACAGTTCAACAGAATATATTTAAGTAGTCACTTTACCCATTTTTTAGGGTAACGATTCCTGACACAAATTTATGTTCTCTACTCTGCTCATTTTAAAGTTCCCCACACATCAAGATATTGACCAATCGAGATGATTTCACCCATTAATGAATCAAAGAATTATTAAAATCACGAAAAGATATACATAACCTGTCAAGGGATTTTGATGAAATACACAGCGATCAATTAGAATTTAATTCTCCGCACGCTCATGCTATAGAATTAAAAACTCGACACGTGATCCGTTCAATACATTTCGAGTATACTAGAAACACCTTTAACTATTTCCGTGATAATAACAAATCACAAACCTAAATATTGAATTGGTCGACACTACAACCTTTCAATATAATGTGCCAACCCTTATATATTGGTTATAAACAAATTGCTTATGATCAAAATATAAGTTGTGTCACACTGCACTTTCAACGCAAGTGCCCAACTTGTATCAACACAAGTGATCATAGACACCTTAATTCACATGTTCAATAATAAATAAATGTAATAAATAAATAAAACTACAATTTATTTATTATAAGTTATTATTTTATCATTCCAAAATATATTATATTGGCACACAATCCAACAAAAACAAATATATTGAAAGCATAGTCCATGAAATTATTGGATACAGAAAATAGTATTAATAGTCATTACACAAGAATGTGATCGCTATTATCTTCTCCATTCACATTCAGAAAATCATTCAAAAATCATTTAATGGAGGAAATGTTAGAGGTGGAGAAGTGAAGGGCCCCTTAACCATGCCCAGTGCTATATGCCTGTAGGCAGCTTCAGTTAAATGAAATCCATCCCAATTCGCATGAGTCGATGGATCCAAACAAGCCCTTGATCCAGTGTGACCACATCTTGCTGAATCATTGAAATTGTATGGTCCACCACCTCCACAGCATGTCACAAGAGTCCCTTCTGAAAAACCTGCCCAGGTTGTACTCCATTTTCAATATTATTTTCATTTTCAAGTTTTTAGCCTAACCAAAAACATATTATGAACGTGAAATGGGATTTTCAGAATGAAAAATCTTTCTTAATGAAATGCAATAAATAGTAATTGAATGAAGTTACCATAAATCTTCGGGGCGTCGAAGAATGTCTTGGCAGCACCGTAATAATCAGCATAAATAATGTTTGCGTGGGGATATTTATGTCTTAATATCTCCAAGGCAAGTTTGAGCTGAGAATTGTGGTATTCGGAGAAAGCATTATACGCTTTTAAGCAGCCATTTCGATCATAAGCTGATTTATCTGATGTTCTAAACAAGGTTAGATACACTGCATTGCACCCAATCGGCAAGTTACCTGGTACTACTAATTCCACTGCTCCATCCTCTATCAACATCTAGAAATTTTACAGATAAAATATATTTTTTTAAACGCAGACTCACATCCTTAATTAATTAATATTCTTGAAAAATGATGCATTCCCTGAAATTTATCTCTTACGATGCAATCAAAATTTGCATTTTTGCACGAGACCTTCACAAATTTTACAAGAAGTATTTTGGTTGACGTGACAATCATTTATAAAACCGTATTTCTCTGTTTGATAAAAAATAAAATCAAAATTTTAATTTAAGTCGAATTCATCAATTAATTTTGATCACACATTTCATGAGACTCAAATTTTTAACCACATATTTCATCAATTTTTATAAAAAAAAATATTGAAAATCTCACGTAAATGATAATCAAGTATGTGCACAAAAATGAGATGCAAATTACTAATGGTTCGTTTGATGTGATTTTCTGTTTGAGCCCCATTTTTATCTCATTAAAATGAAAAATATGACCGTTATCCATCACATCAAGCCATCATATTTGACTTTTTATCTCTTGTATAGGACCAAAATCTCTATATTTTTCATTCTTATTTTTTAATGTTGTGGCTCAAACGGGGCTTACTTTTGCTTTGTATAGAAGAGTTTTTTGAGAAAGTAATCTTAATTTTTATTTGAAAACTAATTTTTAAAAGAGTTTCTCATTCGACAAATAATTTTAGAGAAAACCACATTTGACCAATTTCTTCTAAAAGATCTTGTAATTAGAAAAAGCACTTTCATATAATCGGATGAACTAAATTGTAAATGTTCCAATTCAAAATGACAAAAGAACTGGGCAACAGTAGGAGCCCTAAAGAGGAAGTTGCATGAACACTCGAATTGGTTGAACGGGCCATTGTGTTTAGTCTAGAACTAAAGAACTGATACTTGGTAGTTAGAGTTCAAAAGCAATTCCTAACTTCTCAAAAGTTTGCCGAACATGCCCTAAATCAACATCGTCAACATCACCTTAAAATAGAAAACAAATAAGAGGAAGAAATTTTTATTATTTATAAAATTGATGTAATAAATGGGGGTATGGACGTACGCTTATGGTAACAGCAATTGATTCAACTACCAGCGGGACAAGAGCTTTAAGTTGTATAATGGATGCACCAGCAAGAGAAGGGTAGTTGTAGTCATTACCACCGATCTCACCCACGAGAAAAAGAGACCTTTTAAAATACTTTGCACAATCTGTCACTGCAATAAATGAAGTAGTTAATTAACATTACATGCGAACCAAACAAATAAGGATTTTTTTTTTCCTAACTAAGTTCGGAAAAGAACAAATTAAAATATTATCAGTATTTTGTAGTCGTCTTCAGTAGTACCTATATCTTAATTTGGCATGAGTCCCCTTATACGTAGGAAAATAGATGAGTTACAATTAGTCTAGAGAAAATTATCTACCTATTCAATAAACATCTTGTATTAAAATTTAAGTTGTTAAAGGTGATTTTTTTTTTTTTATATTAAGTTCCTAATATCTTTACATATAAATAAAATTTATTTTTCAGCCGAAAACTTAAAAAATGAAAGTTCCACATATATAGCCCCTGTTCGGTAGCAAATTTTCACACCAAAAAAGTTGATTTTTTTACCGTTATTTTACTATTCCAGCCGTCATTTTTGACTTCTTCACTCATATATGAGACCTACTTTTTCTCTCTAATGATCAAAAAATCAATTCTCATAATCATTACCGAACATACCCATAATGTAGTAATGAAACTTGAACTTGCTGCCTCAATTTATTATGATATTACATGAATTGATCATCTCATCTGAAGTAATATTTAGGTACTCTTATAAGTTATAACATAATGTGCATAGCTTTAGACTGTTTTGTGCATGTTCGTCAAAGCTTGAAGGGTTTATTTTTAAGAAAGTTTATTTATAGGTAAATAAATAAAAAATATTGTTGAAAAAGTTGAAAATAAGTAAATTATTTATTTAAAAATAATCTCCACTTTTACTGATTTTTTATTACTTCTTCTTCTTCTTCTTCTTCTTCTTCTTCTTCTTCTTCTTCTTCTTCTTCTTCTTCTTCTTCTTCTTCTTTTTTACAAATGAGAAAAAAAATGCTAACATGGCATTGTTGCATGTAAATTATTACAGCTAATTTCCATACATAATTACCTTCTTTGGTGGAACAAAATGTGGATTTGAGCTTCTTGAACCACTCAAGTTGAACACCCAATGAACTATTTGTCCACACGATCTTTCCTATGTTGCGATCATAGAAAAATCTTACATCCACTGCAGTAGCTCCAGCAACTGCAAAATTCACTCCATGCTCGAATTTTTTATTACCTTTAGCAAGTGCCAAATATGGTGGCAGATAAGGCAATCCATATGCCTCCGCTACATTAAATTTTCACAAACCATCACTCATTTAATCTGGAGTCGACTCCGTAGATCTATTTTTATTAACATAAATGATTATGAGGAGAAAGAGAAAGTAGTTATTGTGCATACCAACGAAGTCCACTACAAGTCGGCCATTCGAGCAACGCCCGGTGGCACGATGAAAGAATGTTTCACCATACGGAAGCTTTCCAATGACTGTATGTGGAATGGCTCCAGAGAGGAGGAAATTTCCTGTGTCTGCAAGTGAGTCCCCAAAGCTAAAGATTGAGTCATAGTACTTAAGAGGAGGGCTAGTTGAAACTGTCCCTAGACAAGAAATTATCATTAGGATTAAAATGATTTTCATGCTTGTCTGTATGAGGAATTAGAAGGAAAAACTGGTGGCTGAGCAAAAAGAAAGGAACTTAGCCAATGTGTCATTTACTTTTGCAAACGTGCCCTTATATAGGTTAAAGCTCCTAATAGCTTAATTAGCCGCAAATTTTGGTTGGAGTTGTTAGGTCCAAATTTGAAATTGCCAATTTCCGTATCCAAAATCATGATTTATCAAGTTATAATTAAAGTCAAATGGTCAGAGGTTGGTAGTACAAGTCTCGAAGGAGTTAAAGATGGACAAAAGAGAAAAAAATAGCTGAAAAATCGTTCACCAAACGCTCGCCTCCTGCTCGAGCGGAAATAGCAATTTACTAGCCTTTCGCTGTCCGCGACCTTGGCATTCGAGCGGCAGCTTACCGTTCACTGGGCACGATGTAGGAGCTCGAGCAACGTATTTATCCAGTAAATTCTAGGTTCGCAATATCATCTGTTTTACAACCCTAAACCGCTTCAAACATTTGATATTATAAATATTCTTAGCATGGTTGAACAATTATTCATTTTTTAATTCAAGAGACCACATTATTGATTAAGATCAAGAACACAATCCAAGGATCTCTTAATTCAACCACAAGATCAAAGCTTCATAATTATTTCCAAATATCTTTTTGCAATTGGTTGAACCTTTATTTCATTTATGAGAACATCATTTGAAGATCATAAATATATTCCATATTTCTCTTGATTCAACCCAAAGGTCAAAACACAGAAGATTAAACACTAAATCTTTACCTTCACTAATAAATCTTTAGAGTTCTGAAATTAGGAAAAGATAGATGCTGGTGTTCCATTTTAACCGGAATGAGGTTCGTTTTTGGATATCCACGTGGAGGGAAAAAAAGTTCAGAGTTTTTGGAAAATGCTGGGGACACAATCAAAGAAGTTCTTCGGTGATTTACGGGTTGTGGTTAAAGTCTACTAATGTTTAGTTGTGTATAGACTAGCTGTAAATTATCTTTTTTTAGTGTATCACTTTGATAAGATTTGTCCGAAGGTTTTTGATCCGTGTGAAGAATTCTTCGAAAGGTTTTCCTTCGATGCCAAACTTGGTACTCTTTACTTTTATTGCTTTTGATCTATATTGAATGATTAACATAGTGTTTAGTTTGAAATTAAACTTAATTATTTAGAAACAATAATTAATGATTTTTTTTTTAATGATTGTTATTTGCATTGTACACCTCCAGGTGTAGTTGGATCTAAATGTTCTATTATAATATTATATTAGTGTATTTTATTTTTAAGGAGTGATAGACATGGTCACGCAATAAATAGGGCCTACCTTGGTGAGCGTTGACTTGAGATTTTTGGGGTCTTAGCCCTACTTCGTACGAGTCCTTCCATATTCATTTCGTTCACACATATATTGGAAGTATTAATCTTATGGGGCCGTCACGGAGTTCCCTAGGGCAACCGCCTGCCTCTGGCAATAACTTGACTGAGAAATATTGAAAAAATGTCACTACCCTTGTAATGACTTAAATGTTGATTCTTTCTGCGGCAGATATCCATTAAATACGTGTGTGTGTATGTATATATATATATATGTGTGTGTGTGTGAGCGAAGTGAGGTCAATGAAGAAATGAAAAGCACATAAATTGACTTATTCTCAGTATTTGAATCCTAAACTCAGTATAATTGTTAGATTAGAAAAAGTCAAGCCCAAGATTGTTTATATATATATATATATGTGTGTGTGTGTGTGTGTGTGTGTGTGTGTGTGAGCGAAGTGAGGTCAATGAAGAAATGAAAAGCACATAAATTGACTTATTCCCAGTATTTGAATCCTAAACTCAGTATAATTGTTAGATTAGAAAAAGTCAAGCCCAAGATTGTTGAGCCTTTAGCTGTTCCAATCTCACAATAGACTTTTGCAATTTTAAAAAGATTCATGTATTCTATCTCGAAAAGCAATCGGAGTTAACACTTGTCTCAGAATAATTTCTTATTCAAACTACTCGATTTATTATTTTGCTTAGTATATTAGTATTTAGTTTCTGCCATATTCCAATATGAAATGAACTACGAAGTACTAACAATCCATATAATGTGTAGCGTTGGAGCGGCATTAGATAAGGTGAACGACTACATGAGAAAACATACGCGTTTTCTCTATTATTGATTAATCTAGTTGGGGAAGTCAAAACGAATATTTATATAATGAATTAATTTATTTGTATAATTATGGTTAAAAATGATGAATGACAACATTGATGTTATCAAAACTTGGACCATTAATTCTAAAAACAGTTTCTAAAATGGATGAATGTGATATTGCCAAGTATGATTGTCAAATAAAATTGTTAATAAAAAAAAAAGATTGTACAAGTAGCATGATTGTTATATAATTTCGTTGCAATAATATTTTGACTTACCACTGTGACCAACTTTCTTGTAGCCCAAAGTTGTGTTTTAAAAATGCCATCGTCTAGACTTTTAAAGGGTCTATTTTGAAATGGTATAATGTTTTTACTTTTATTGGACAAACAAATTTTGCTAAGATGGATTTCTCTAACTTGCCTAAACTCACTTCTTATGACCCTAAAAAGTCAAGGGCTGAAGTTAAAATTTGAACACTCGATAACGGTGTGAGTAATGTTAATTTATAGAAAACTAGGCTCACAATTTTATTTTGTCTTTCCGTATAGGAGCCGTTCCTAATCTATAATATTACATGACCTGTTAGGCAATTTTGTTGTCAAACGACCTCCCCGGGCGATGATGTAACCTCGGTTGTTTATTATCAATCGGCCTCGGCCAAATGATTGATTAGTACATCGATACAATTATCGAGACAACACAATCCACTTTATTATGGACCGTTCGAAGCAACCTATTTTTATAGTGTTGCTCACGGTTCTTGCACCATTCCTTGGAAGGCTATATTATTATTGTTGAAGCCCACTTAATTGAGTTGAGCCTCGTTTGTTGGTCCACCACTTAACCCTAATTCTAACTTACCTATTTGGACACTTTACTTGGCATATAATCCCTCTCTTGTCTCGGTCTCCATAGAGTGAAATTTTCTTTTCTCTTTGTGAGTCTCTCTCTCGGCCTCTCCCTTCTCCCTCACTGTGACCTTAGTGGTTAATCTATTGTGGGCACATTATTGTGTTTCTCCTTCTCCAATTGATAGCAACTGGAGTGGGGGCGGCAAGTGGTGGTGTTGGAGTTGTCTCAACAGTGTTGGTGTCGATGTTGTGGTAAACTGAGCCCGGTTTTGCTGGCGGTGGAATTCATCCCTACATCTGGTATCAGAGCGGTAGCAGCTTTCCCGGCCTGAAAATCAGCAAAAAACCGACGACAGTCGCGAGTTTAGGTGGAAAAACCGTGGCTGCAACCCTTATTTTCGGCAAATCCAGTCACTTTCCGGCGAAACTGATCCCATATTCGGGATCAGCAGGCTGAGGCGCTCCTTCGTAGGTGGCGCGTGGGGCTCCGGCGGCGGCGCGTGGCGGCGATTCCAGGCGAACTTCCTTCGGGCAGTTTGCTCATTTTAATCCCCTGAACGCACTGACACTATTTATTTTCTGTTTCAGGTTATACATAAAAAGTTGGACAATTTTGCCCCCGGTGGATCGACGGTTGAATCTGCATATATCTACTGAATTACTTTAGGCCAGATTGCGGCCCTAAAGCAGTAGATTCACATCTCTCTTGATTATACGGACTCAGACACGTTCGCTCTGGTAAATTGGCTTAACACGTTAATTTTTCAGCATTAGCGCGTCACCGTGTGGGGTGACAATAGGTTGGGGGTTATCATTACTTGGCAACTATTGCTTATGCTAGAATTAGGGTTACGTGCTCTTGATTGATCTTTTTTTATTGAGTATTTGTTTTTGGGTTTAAAATCAGTCTTGTAATTCTTAGTGATCAAATTACTGTGGGAATAGTTATCTGCTAGACGTATTTTTTGCTGCACTGTTATTTCCGCTGCTTACTTATTCCGTTAGAAATACCGTGACTTTACCCTTTCGAACATTCCCTTGATCTAAGACCGCGAGTCTTACAAAACTCTAGGAATCTAGAACGGTGTATATTGTCTGTGACCCCTAGGACTACTTTGTGTGGTTTGATTGTGGTTTGTGCATTTTTTGACTATTGTGTGAAGATGACAACTCACAGTTTTTATTTGGAAATTTTTAACAGAAAGGGTGACTTTGCTATTTGGCAACAAAAAATGAAGGGTATTTTAGTTCAACAAGAAGTTTTAAAAGCCATTGAATGCAATTTTTCAACTGATTTTTCACAAGAACAAAGAGAAGAAGCTGATGAGCTTGCNATGAGGTAAATGTGTTAGCATCTACTTCTTATATAAATGGTGGTGAGGTCTATATGATTACGAGTCCAGCTGCATACACTGCTAAATAAAATCTAACTGCTAATTCCCGCATCCATGAGTGGATATTTGATTCTGGTGCATCTTTTCATGTGACGTCTGAAAAGAACTGATTTTATAAGTTGCATGAATCTAACGTTGGGCATGTTGTGCTGTGTGATAACTTTGCCTATACTATTGCTGGAATTGGTGACATAAACGTAAAATTTGACACGGGTTTTGTGTATACGTTAAAGGATGTTAGATATATTCCTGAATTGTCTAGGAATTTGATTTCAGTAGGGAGACTTGAGAAGGATGACTTTACTGGTAAAATTGGAAATGGTATGCTAAAAATGATCAAGGGTGCTTTAGTTTCTATTAAGGGAATTAAGAAAAACGATATATACATTACTACTGGGGAAGTGATTAGAGATGTGAATTCCTCTATCTCCTCTGCCAAGATTGATCACACACACACATGGCACAATAGACTTGCTCATGTAGGAGTCAAGGGACTTAAGCTACTTAATGAAAATGGTGCTTTTGGTAATGACTGTATGTCAGATTTGCCATTTTGTGATCATTGTGTGCTTGGAAAGCATCACAAAACTTCTTTCTCCACGAGTGTTAATAGAACTAAAGGCATGCTCGAATATGTGCACTCTGATCTTTGGGGTCCTGCCAGTAATCCCACATCGGGTG